AGGATGTTCCCACCGTATACCCCGATATCCGTCGGAGATGCGTAAATAATGTCCAGAGATGGATGATCAAACTTAGAATACCCCATGGCGAAAGAAGAAACAAAAGGAAAAGGAAAAAGAACAGAAAAAAAGAAGGGTCTGGTCTAGTGTCGAATAACTGCCCGACCGGGGGAATCTCGTAGTATCAAATTTCCCTTTTTGCTAATCTAGGTACCTAGTTACCTAGTTACCTAGCCGCCGTTTTATTTTTTATTTTTTTCATGTTTTTGTGTACTATATCCTGTCTACCTATCTCCGTCTCCAACATAGGTACCTTAGGTATCATTTAATTTAACCTCCAGGCAGTATGTACAGAACGGAGCCTAAGTCTAGGTAATGATGTGGCCATATTCTACCTACCTGGTGAAGAATGAAAGTCCCGAGCGTGGTGAGAAAAAGGGGTTAAATAGAACAGAGTTTAGGTAGTGAATGGATACACAGATAAATAGATAGATAGATAGATAGATAGATAGATAGCGGGAACGAAGCATTTGGGGGGGGGGGGGCAAAGTAGAAGAATCACAAGATCCATCTACCTAGTGAAGGTAAGTGGAAGGACGAGGTGGATATAACACATGTTAGACTTCATTAAACTGAACTACCTCTAGGTTAGTTAGACATGAGGACATGATTGGACGAGTATAGGCATCTAAAGATAGAGTTATGTAGACTAGTGCAAGTAGCTACTTACGGTAAGGGTAGTAGTGATGGCGATACCTCTAGTAAAAAGCGATCGATGGCCAACGAACAGAGGTGATGCAACGACTACTTTTTTTTTTCTTTTCTCATTTGTCGCCATCGGATCGGACCGCATCTCATCGATCGTGGATTACCACGTTATAATCTTGCTATTTTAATTTTTTTCTTCTGTCCCTCGCTGGCTCGCGCGCGTAATTCCATGCGCGATTATCTTTTTTGGGTGTCTGCTTTCTTTCCTTCTTCTTTATTTTTTTTCTTTGTTTCATTCGTCTTTTCCTTCCTTTTTCTTTTTTTTTTTTTGCGGGGTCTTTTTTGCGGGGAACTTTTTTCTTTTCTTTTCTTCTTATTTGCTCTTTTTCATTTTCTCCTTTCTATTCAGTTTTCCTTTCTTCTCATGGGCAGCGTATAAGCAAGCGTGTCTCTCAAATTTCTTCTTCCCAATCATACCCCAATGCGTCAGTATGTCTCGACTGTCTCCGTTGTCAACATGATGAACATCACTCATCAACCTGAAGGGTCTATATTTTCATCCTGAATGCTGTGGAGAGAGAGTTTCAGACCCTCGATCCTCATCCTCTTTGCAAGTAATGTCATCGGTGATGATTGTCTTGGGTCGCTACTTGACGAGTGTTTCAGGCAACCCTTTTTGTTTTGTTTTTTTTTAACATTTTTTATTTTTATTTTTTATTTTCGCGGGAAGTAGAATCTCGCTAGTGTAAGACATGAACTGTCATGTAGATTCATGCGGTAAGCAAACCATATCTACCGATTCACCGTCCTTTCTTTTCTTTGAAAAGGGTCCATCTCTCGCATGGTCAAGGTGAAACAAAGTGATGATTGTGGTTCATGACTATCTTTCAGCAATTACTCGCACAAATAGATCCATGCCTGTCATAATGGCGGATCAATCCCGTGCAGCGTCATGATAACTCGAAATCAGAGGGTCCAGTTTACATATCATCAGCACCCTGAGATCTGCGGATTGCCCTCATGGTTTCATGGTATCATGGTTTTGTCTTATACTCACTCATAGGACTGCGGAAGCATTTCCGGGGTTTCTAGCTTCGCGTGTCCACCTGGGATGAACCACCTGTGAGGAGGATCATTCCCAGCCGGGACGACGAGCAGTCACAACTCTCTACCCTGTTATGTGATACCTTGGAATCGGATGCTCGCGTTATCGTGGGATATGTATGGATGATTCATGGACCCGCTAGAGTTTTCAAGCTAGACCTAGGTGAAAATCTTGACCCTAGATTAACCCACACTCGCTGACCAATTCGGTGCACAACGTCCCTCATTTGGGTAGTTACTGGGGCCCCATTGGTCGTCGTGGGGGATTAGTGATCCGAGTCGTCGGGACGTAGTACCAAGATAGCAAGTCCCGGACCCGCTAGGCCTAGAGGTAGCTAAGAAACGTGAAGCTAGATCTACATGAAACACACTCGTGAGACTTTTGTTTCCGAATTCACTCACATGCTTCCCGGTCCCCTGGATTTTGCCCACCGTAGATCTCGAGTTACAAGTGAAACACTAAAAGATATGAAGGGCATGGTGTGGGTGGACTTGGGGAAGGTATGTTGTTTCCCCACTGTGGCGAGATACTTCTCGCAGTTTCTCGGCGGGCAAGGCTTTCCGTTCAAGATAAGTTGAAAGAATGGTGAGGTCAGATGAAGCCAGGTGAACCGAAACAGGTATAGGTGAAATGAGCGAGTGGTGTAAGTGATGCGGGGACACGTCCGGTCGTGATGCACAACGGACCGTTGGTGGCTTTCATAACGTTCAGTAGCCTCAACGGCTCAACCAACATCCGAATTACCGAGCATCTGCGGCTTGGACAGTTTACGCTGAGCAATGTGTACATTGTTCAGCCAAAATGTAACAAGGCGAAATAAAGGTATGTAAGGTCAAAAGCAGAACCGGATTGGGGTGAGGTGTACAAGTGATCGACACTAGTCATGCCGTATTGATACACAAAAACATGCTTACACACCTAGGCGAGGCTGTCTGCATGGTGCCCATGTTCACCTGAGTTCCTTGGTAGACTGTGTACACTAATACAGGAAAATTGAAGAAGATCTTCTTCTGGGATCAGAGATTGGGCCTGACAGCCGTTGCCTGAACCGCTTCCTGATGAGAGGGATTGTCTGAGGTAGCAGTCGGAGCTTTTCGGAGAGAAGGAGGGTAGTGTAGAAGGGTGAAGAATGAGTGAGATTGACGGTTGGCACAATAGATCTTGCACGAGTGGCCTAGACTAGGTAGGTGTCGGTGCCGCAGTGCCGGTGCCGTGGCGGTGCCTTGTCGGTTGGTCGGCCATGAGATGGAAGCGTAGTACAAGATTTCCTGTTCCTGTCCGTCAATCATGACCCAGCGTCAATCATCACACTCAGGTGGTACACTGCTGTGAATGTGCCCAGTATTGAGATCACTTGTCAGTGACGAGCAGCTGGTAACGAGCGGAGGGGGTATGTCATCGCCGCGTGGGAACAGTGGCGCCGTGCCTCGGAATTACCGGTAATACGACACCACCGTAACCCTCCCTTCTTTCTCGAATCTCGAATCCCATCTCGTTTCTTACGAGGGAGACTGGCAATGACGCATGTAGGGTTCAGTGAGGACAGGATTCAGGGTCTTCCGCTGACGTATATCGAAGACGAAAACCTTGGAAAACGTGGGATTCAAGATGACTGAATATGTGCAGTGGGAAAGGTGAGAAGTATCGAGAGAGAGAGCGGTCGAGTGTGCCGTATTAGTGTAATGTCATGTTGCGTCATGTCATAGGGGAGATGATGGTGAAGAGCAGCAGCAGAAGAAAGACGGTGTCCAGATTACATGTACATACACGAGGCTGTAGGACGGGCGGGCAGCTTCCGATTGGCCGCGGATCGTCATGAAAGGACCTGGCTGTCGGAAACTATGATCAACAGGAGATGATGGGCGGTGGGTGTTGCATTACAGTGGCTATAACACGGGTGAGAAGACCCCCGAGACAGCTGTCGTCAGCGGGCATGAGGCCTAGAACTGTGCTGGACAAACGCCCAAAACCTTATTTTGACGACAAGGGTTAGGGGCCCGCCCTCATTCCACTTCGGTTCCCTCGAGTGCCATTCCATTCCTCATACCGTACACAGTAGTGTACATACAGGGTGTGTAATTACAAGGTTACGGTACGTACACTACACACAGCACACAGTGGTCCGCGCGGGGAGGCAATCTCGATTTCCCTGCTTGATCGGCCAGGCACTTGCCCAAAGCTGTCACACGTCGCGAATATCACTTTCCCCTGAGAGCGTCTCCCGCTCTTTCCCGCCTTGCATTGCAGTCGTTTGCGAGGCTTTGTGCTCGTTTGCGAGTCTGGGCATCCGTCATTATCGACTGACCCTGGGTGCTGATTGGTCAATGGTCTTGCAAGGTACGCGGACATTTTGCACCTTCCCTGCGACAGACTGCAACGACGGGACAATGTGGGAAGGGTCCATCTCCTGCTCTTTCTGTCACTTTCCGTTGTTTCGGTTCGTGTTTCGTTTACTCTTTCCTCATTCTCTTTCTCCGAGACACGACCTCGTTCGGTTGACGACTGACAACTGAACTCTGGTGTCTCGAATTCTTTCCTTCTTCCACTCGCCAAATGGAACCTACCATGGCCAGAGGACTGACCACCTCAGACCCTGACCGGGTCATCACTACCACCACAACCATCACCCCCTTGTCCTCGACGTGACTTCATCATCCATCAATCCCCGTCTTTCCACTTCTTCATTTTCCATCACCTTCCTTCTGCGAAATGACGGGAGTCCCATCACAACACCGGCTGCCCTACCCGCGGCAAGGGGAGTCTCGATTGGTCTGCGCGTCTCTGTCCCTCTTGTCTCTGCCGCTAGTCTTCGGCAACTGCGCCAAATTGATGGATGACGGCGGGACATCAATGGTACCTGGCTACCGTAGTTAGCTTTCCATCCACTCCTACTTCCGCTTACAAACGATGGTGAACACCAATAGTAGTCGAGGACGAGGGCCGGACCTCGAGCCTCTGGCCAACGATGGATCTCCTGCGGCTCTCTCCTCAGCCCTGCAATTCCTGCTCTTCGCCTTGCCTACTCAGGGCTTCAGGTCTCTAGGTAGTCGCTCTGGTCTGGTCTGGTCTGCCCTGGGAATGGGATCCCGCCCCGTTCCGCTTTCGAGGTTCCGCTCTTCCGGGGTAAAGCAAAGGTGGACTGGGTGGAGAGCAAGTCACTGGCACCTCACTGGATAGAGTCATCAACATGATGTTCATGTGGATGGGAGCACATGGAAGACGTCGAGGCAACTTGGCGATCCTGCCTGGGTTGCGTCAGTTGTCTTTTCGGCGCAGTTATCAATGCATGCCATCTCGTCGGAGAACCCATCTCCAGTTGTCTAGAACATATCTATTCATCCTATCATCACATCGACATCCAGTGTCCATTCAAACTGCTATACACCATACTGCACCAACCATACCATATTACCACACAGCTAATGGACTTGTCACACCAAGAAGAATTAAGAGGAAGCTCCAGCCCCGAGGCACAAATCGTCCGCCTAAAGACTGAGCCAGGCACGAGCACCAAACAAAGCCCTCGCCCTTCCTCGAGCTCCAATGCCACCAGTGCTGCTGGGTCTTCGAATAGACCCGTCCAGCCGCCCAAGGTTTGCGACAAGTGCCGACTAAGGAGTGAGTCTTGCCCACAATTCAGATCTGATTCCACGTACCCTGAGCGCATGGCCTGCTGTTCCATGGCCCATTCTGTCGGTGTCGATGCGATATGTCGATCCTGGTCAGCCATAGAACCCTGATTGCCAGACCCGGAAAATAACCACAAAAGGCTAACCCTGCTTCGCTTGTTCACAGGAATCAGATGCGATTACCAGTCACCTTGTCAACCTTGCATAGACGCGAAGCTTCAATGTACCAGGAACCACGTGCCGCGTAAGAGAGGGCCGAGACCCGGCCGTGGCCGTCTTATCAACAGACTCAGAGAACGCGAGGCAGGAAAGAAGGAAGAACAACGTCCAAGCAGTTCTGGAGAGTGAGTAGCCCCCCCTGTTTCTAGTGTCAAGCCGCAGTGCTAACCAAACCCAGTCCGGAGGTAAGCGACGGAGCCCGGTCAAATAATACCGACATCTTCCCGCAAAACGCCTCCGTCTCATCAACTTGGGCCTCCGACGTGAGCACAGCTCCCGAAACAACCGGCCTTTGGGCCAACGAACACATATTCCCATCAAGAGGCGCATTTCTCTACCTTATACCCAAATGTGTAGAACTCTTCTATCAACACCTGTATCCCGTGATGCCTGTCCTGTACATGCCCGAAATACAACGAATGGACCCACGAGTCTGCGATCTCCCCGAAAAGAACCTCCTGTTTTCCCTTTCGGCTCTCACCTGTTTCCGCATGTCGGGTCACAGCCTCGGTGCTGAAGACAGTCCCGAATTCTGGGACCAGGCAGGTCGTTTCCTGCTCAACGATTGCTTAGATGTTAGGAAGCAATATGACTTGTATGACAACATTTCGTTGAGCACGGTTGTTTCGTCCATGTTTCTGGCTTCTTCCTTCTTCGAGACTAACCAAAGCACAAAGGCGTGGGTCTACCTAAGAGAGGCCCTAACCTTTGCGCAGGAGCTGGGCTTGGAGGATGAGTCGACTTATGCAGGCTTATCGCCCGAGGAGGCTCTATGTCGGCAGAGGGTGTTCTGGCTGTTGTATGTTATGGAACGGTAAGTCTCCATTATCCTGTTTTTTTTTTCCTCAGCTCTGTAATGAAACGCAATCTGACAAAGGCAGGTCATTCGCAATTCTACGCAACAAGCCGCTCATGCTGCGCCGGACACCCAAACTTCCCATGACTCTTCACGCTTACGAATCCCGCGGCATCCACACCGGTTTTCTCCAACTTCTCGGCATCTACATTCCCCTTCGTGACTCCATCATCGAAGCATGGACCTATGGTTCCAACTCCACCGTCGACGTCAATACCTACCTCGCTCTGCAGAACCAACTTGCTCGGCCAGCCGGCAGTTCAGGCGGCTTGTCCATCCCACACCCGTTTTTCCCTTCCTCTCCCAATGCCGCCGTATCCTCCATACAGATGCCAGTTTCCCAGTCTTGCGGCTTCTCCGACCTTTCGCTTTCATCCTCATCAATTTCTTCTTCGCCTGAGGACCCTGTAGCTCCAGTGGTAGAACCGACACCGTCTCAAACCGCCGAGCTGTTAGTAACGCAGCAGTGGCTCAGATTGATTATCTGGCTTTCCTCGCTGCGCCAGGGGTACCTGTCATGGGCTGCGGAGAATGAGAGCATGCATTTCGCACTTCCCTTGACTATCGCTAGGCAAACTGGGTTGGTCTTGCGGTCTCTTATGCAAATCGGGGGCTTAGAGGCAACTGGTGTGGCAGCGCTAGAGGTCAACGGGATGGGAATTTTTGAAAAGATCTTTGAAATTGGTGCTTGGTGTATGAACGTGCTGGATTCGTACGACAAGGCCTCTTTGGAGGGGCAATTTCTTACCTTGCCCAATTTCGGTCGAAGACACAGCGCAGCCTCTGGAAAGAACAAGCAGGCTGCCAGGTCGGCAACCAGCTCCCCAGCCGATCAGACCATGGACTACGAGGACGACGAGGACGTCGATCTGCTCGATGTCTTTATGAGGGCACTCAGCGCGACCCCGACGAGTAGGAAGCAATTCGCCGAGCCCCTCTATATGTGGGCGACGACGAGACCCGGGGGCATGCGGATCGGGCCAAGCTCAGTGTTGCATCTAAACACAGGTGGTGGTGCCGGCGCCTTTGGTATGGCACAGGCACAGCCAGGTCTTACTGAGCAAATACCGGGAATGGGGCTGAGCCAAGGGTTAGACTTGGGTCAAGCGTCTGGGATAGGCGCGGCGCAGGGACACGATGCGAGTTCGATGATGCATCAGCAGCAACAGCCTGGAATATGGAATGCTGCTTCTGCATATGCTCATGGCCAAGCACCGCTTCCGGGGTCGGCCACCAGTAGTGGAGCTGGACTCTCGTGTCCCGACGGACCCGGGCCTGGAGGTGGACAAGGACAGGGAATGGAAGATGTCGTCATGGGAGATCAAGCCTCTCATCAAGGGCAAGGATTTAACATCGATCCGAGGCTTGGTGCAGGTTCCAACGTGCCCAGAGGATTGCAACATGCGAGTTTCGGCCGCCAACCCCTTCGTCCCAATGCACCACACCTGCCCAGTCCGCTTCCCGGTCAGTTCGGCGGACCACCTACGAGCTTGTACGACGTCCCTGGATGGAGTCCCATTGACCCTGGGGGCCTTACGAGAGCGAGGAGTCGCACAATGGGCATGGGGCAGCTGAGGGGGTTGATGGCTATGGTTCAAGGGGGCCCGGGCACACCGGGGTCTTCCGGGCCTAGTGTCTCTCAAGCAGGAAGTTGACAATGATGGAAGTTATAGTTGAAAAAAGGTGTTGGTTCTCATTTCATATGTGGCTACACGTTCTACGGAACGTGTGCGGCGTGTTGTGGGCAAAAAGATGGAATTAATTGTTTTATACGGGCGGAAGAAACATTATACCAACAAATATGGCGCGCGGCGTTTCGATTTTGCTTGTTTGAGAAAGGATCAAGAGAAGGAGTTGGTATATCATCACCGGAACCAGGACCGTGTTCACGGTGGTTGTGTTATTACGGTTACAAGTACTGTACAGTAGGGGGAGTGTACGATACGGCGGTATCCCTTAGAGTCTAAGTGCGGATCGGATCTATAGGGGTGGATCTCTGTTTCAGGTTTAGAAGGGACAAACTGGATAGAGTGGGTGAGAAATCTCATAGAGGACGAGATCTGTCAGTATAAGTTTAAATATCAGATAGAGGAGGATATTTGAGATACAAAACTTGTACCGTACTTGTACCCATAATGATGCGTTCTTAGACTGTTACCCTCCAAAACACAACAATGAAGCTTCAATTGCACTTGAAGGTGAAACGTCCTTTGGTAAACCACGGATTAGGTATCTTAGCATCGGATGAATCTCGAGCAGGTAAATGGGGAAGGAACCGTCGACAATTGGATCGATGCACACCTGGAAAGAATCACCCAGGGATGTATCTAGGGAGCTGGACATGCCGTGAAAGGAAACGCTGGTGAGGGGACAGTACCTACGAATGTCCATCCTCTCCATCACCGGCCCGGAGAAGATCAATCGAATCTCCGAAGAAAGCACCTGACTGTACGCATGCATGCAAGCTGGGCGATGTGGACCGAAGTTGTTCCATACCAGGCTGTGTGAAACTAAAGGCAATGCCCAGACGCCAAAGGACAACAAAAACCTATTGCCTTTATTTTTTCGTAGATGCTGCATACCTTTCGCCTGGTCTTTAAAATGCCTCCGTGGATCAGAACACAATGGTCTTCCGGACTTCTTCCATCAATTACCATCACTTCGGTGTCTCCCAGCTCAATCAAATTCTTCCCACGATGTCTACTTGGCAAGCCCCCCTAAGATAGTCTTTCTTTGCGCTCTCAACAATAGGCACGAGGTATCTCATTTCCAGTGCCTCAATCAACAAGGTCAACTTCTAGGACCAACGTCTACGCAGCTCCAATCATCAACTCGGCCAACAAGAGACAAGCAGCAACCTGACCCAAAGTCTCATCACACGCGCTTGCAAAGTCACCAAGTTTGTAGACTACAATGTCTCCTCCTTTCTTGCACTTCATCTACTATGCCATCTCCATTAAAACCAACAGATCAATCCAGAACAGCAAGTTCGGTACTCCCGCGCCCAAATCACAATCGAGATCAACACCATCCCGATCGCAGCGTGCGATACCTGAAAGCTACAAATAAAACCGAGAAGCATCGACACCAAACACCTAAACAATGGACTACACAGCCCCTCACCAGCCACCTATCGGGGGGTACTCGACCAGCGCCATCTCACCAGCAACATACAATCCCACCCCCTATCCCCATCCTCCTCCTCCTCATCCTCCTCCTCCTCCTCCTCCCTCCCGTCCCCGCCCCAACTACATCTACAAAATCCACTACCGCGTCTCCTGCTCCAAGACCGGTGCCCGTTACCACCTCATCCGCACCGGTCCCAACTACCTCGTCACCCTACAACAAGCAAAGTCCTATGTGGCGCAATGCCACGCGAATTGGTTCGAGGACTGGTGGAACGAATGTGTCTTGAATGGGCCGCCACGCACCACTACAGTTCAAGCGGTACTCGCGACGGTGGTGGGCGCGGAACGCCCGCAAACACAAATTTGTAGACCGGGAGAACCCGTTGGATTGGAGGGAGTGAGACTGGAGCGGATTTGCTTGGGGAAGTATGGAGGGATCAAATGGGGGAGGAGTAGTTAAGGGAGGAGATGAGGAGGGGGAGGTATTGGGAGAGATATAGAGGGGTGGGTGTGGCGTGGGGGTTTGGGGCAGATGCACTTGCGGCGGCTGTGCAGTTGGATCGTAGGTTGATGGGCGCGGGAGTAAAGGAGAGGAGGGTAACGAGGGTGTGGAGGGTTAGGATGGTGGGTTGGGGAAGTTCGAGGGTGAGGGCTGTGAGGATGGTGAGGTGATGGGAAGGTCTGGGGGAGATAGTTAATTTACTCTCCAAGTACTAGGTTAAATGGTTTGGGGACAATCCAATTAAAAATTGAACCTCGAGTTCTTGAAGTGTACAAGCTATCTCTCGTGCATTTTGCAGATATCTTCTACCTCGGGAACTGAATGTTTTGTTAACTATGAGGTGGAAGGCATGGCCGAGGTGCACAGAGAACGAGTGAGAACCTTGATGGCCATTTCGCTATCGATAAGGTCGAGACGATAAGGTATGTCTGCCGTCGTCGTCAACGCCAGTCGCGCAAACCAACAAGCAGCTCATCAATTGCAAAACCCATGAATGTCTTGATAGAGACAAGTTGACGTTGAAATTAGAGTGATATAATACAAAACATTTCTCATCTATTCATATACATACGCTGTACCCTATACCTGCCCTACTACGCTGTCCATTCATGGCTTCCGGCTGTCCTCTCGGTGTGCCCCGGCCAAGCTCATCTGTGCTTCCTCCCGTGGCCACCGCTTTGCACTCGAGTATACGGTACTGTATGTCATACTCTACTCTCGATACCTTCGCCACATTTTTAACCGAGTGTCGTTCCATAATTTGAAGTCCATGGCATCAACTCGTCCCTTATCACACATCCATCTATTCTTCACCTTTACAATTTGCAATTCTTTCTTGAAATCATCTCTGACGGCGCGATGCCGCCAAGCAGCTGAGTTACCCCCCCAGATGCTGGAAACCTTATCAACCGCATAGGCTATTGGAATTTGCTCTCCCGGAGGAAGTGAGTTGACGTGTTCCAGCATCTTGTCCATTCTCTCCTTGTCGGCGGCCCGCATCTTGTGCAGTCTCTCCTCGTTGGCGGCCGCAATCTTCTTTTCGGTTTCTTCTCTGACCCGGTACTCCTCTTGTTTCTTGTCCAAACATTCCTTGCAAAACGAAGTAAACGTATAGCTCGCAATGCCCTTTCGGTCACGACCCCATTCTGCGGAAATGTGAACTGTGGGGTTGATCTTGCAGATCTCGCAAATGGGCTCCCTGAACATTTCCCTGCATTCAGAGCAATCGCAGGGGCGGCCCCAGTCGCAGTTAGAGCGGCACACCGCGCTGGTGTGGAACGTTTGGGCAAAGTTGTTGAGGCTGGGTATGACTCTCGGAGTAAGCGACTTCTCTTGCCGGATTCTATCGGCAAAGGTAACTGATGGTCCTCCTTTGCTTTGGAAGAGAAGACCGCATCGTGTAATGGCTGTGAAGCTCCTTCCGAAACCTGTTCTGGGCGGTTGAGCCGTCGGAATGCCAAAGGAGGTCGCTCGGAGAAAGACCGCTGGTGTCAACATCTTGATGTGCTCTCTTCGTCCTTGAAAAGGTCAAGTGGCTTGAAAGAGCGGGACCTAGAGCTCGAAATCGGGTTCTTACACCTGCTTGATGCTTTCGCTAAAGTTAGCTGGAGGGACAGACAGAAACTAGGACGCGTCACTATACAGTAGGAGCGGCAATGGGTTGAAGCGCTTGGTTGCACAAGATAAGGAAGGGCCTAAACGTACGTACTTGCGAATGGGAGGGAAGCTGGGGAGGATGTGAGGCGCGTATAAATGGGCGCCGACCAGACTTGATGGTGGGATGGCCGTAGTGATGGCCGCACAGAATCGTGGTGAGAGGAAGAGGGTGGGAGGAGAGGAAGAGGGAGTGGAAGAGGGAGAGGAAGAGGGAGAGAGTTCGTTGTCTCGAGAACGTGGGCTTGTACCCCGCTCGTCTCCGACCTCAACGAAGGGAACTTCGCGTTGTTACATTACCATTACTTACAGACAGTCAACCACTCAAAAAGGTTTCCCGCGTTTGCAATCACGTCAACGGTTGACAACATCCCAACCTCAAGGCAGCCACGCGTTTATCATGGAACACACGCAGAACAAACCCTTATTTATCAGGCCTCGTCGCCAACGGTAGCCATCAAGGTTCTCTTCGGTTTCTGTCACCAACCATTATCCAATTTGAAGACATTACACATTTTGACCAAATACCATAAAGTCCAATGCTCTCCATCGACATTGCTTTTTCTGGTATCTTGTCCCAGCCACCAGGACTTTACCAGATTATACCACGAGCATTAACCTCACAACAGAACTGCTGAAACGCAGGGAGGGCCATGGCTGCACCGATTTTGAACCACCATCATTAGTATCATCCAAATCCTATATGCAAACTTCCAAAGAACGACTCAAAAGAAATGGCAGATAGAGGTACGCACTATTAGCAACATCCTCCCCACACGACGCCACCGTACAGGCAGTGCCAGCTTGGATGATGGCCGCAAAGTTCACCGGCGTGCACCAGCACTTGTAGTCGGGAGGGATGGTCGCACAGGGGGTGGATGCGCTGGCGGAGCCGAAGATGCAAGTAGTGGCGCACGCGGGGACCTGGGAGAAGTCGGGGACTTTCGGTTTGCAGACGGGGTGGTGATCATCACTGGAGTCGCTGGAGTCGAGGGCGCCGACGAGGCTGGTTACGAGGGCGATCATGATAGGGAGGAACTGCATTTTGGATGTGGTACGGGACTTTATGGGATAAGGTGGTGGTGGTGGTTAGGTAGTTGGTAGGTGGATTAGGAGGAAAAGTCAAGTAGAGGCGAGTGAGTGCGGGATGTCCCCAAAAGAAAGTCCATTTATATCACTTCCTTGTAATCATACTCGCAGCATACCTTGGCTTCTCAGGTTCTTGGATATGAGAAAAGGAAACAGGATGTTGCGCCCTTTTGAATTCCCGGTTTAAACAAGATGGGGTGCCTGCATTGATGTGCATCGTGCCAGTGAGGAGAGTCTGGGGAATTCATCACGAGTTTCAAGATTCGTGCTGGAAGTGATGGATGTATCATGTACCCCGGATTTTGATTAATTATCTTACAGGATGTCGGTTGGTCTGCTAAATACCTAGTAATTTCTAACTTCCATGATGAGTATCCCACCAAATCCGATGCTTGGTCGTTTGCGTATGTTATGTTCGTCAACCTTGTTTCCCTCAATGTAGTTTAGGAAGCATTCACCTCCTCACAGAACGTCTCGACAGCAGGGAGGACTTCGTCTGTTATCACCCGCAATCCCATTTCGTCGTTAGCATTTGTCTCTTTTCTTTCTTTTTTCCTTTTTTCTTTTTTCTGGCCTCTCCTCCAGACACGACATTCAAATAGAAGGTAAAGTGTACTTACAAATGGCGAAACAAGGGAGAGAAATACGTACTAACAGCAACATCCGTCCCACAATTCGCCAAGACGCACGCCGTCCCGGCTTGCACAATGGCTGGCTCGTTTTCTGCCGTGCACCAGCATTTATAGTCAGACAGCGAGCAGGTGGTGGCAGAGGAGACGGCGTCGACGATGCAGGGCTGGGCGCACGCGGGGATTTCGGAGAGGTCTTGGGCGGCGACGAGGCCGGCGGCGAGGGTGAGGAGGGTGAGGAGGGACTTCATTATGGATTTGGAGTTGATAAATGTGGATGTGGTGAAGAAGAGCTTGTGGGCGAGGGTGTGTGGACGTCTCAGCGTTTGGTGCTTGAAAATAACGAGACGGAAGCAGGATATTGTGTCCTCTTAACTTTTTCTTCCTGGAAGTTTGCCCGGTTCCTACATCGTCTGCCTTGTCCGGGCGGTATTGTGTCCGAGGCCTGAGCCATGCTAAGAACTTTCATTCCCTTCGTGATGTATAGTGGGGAGAGTCAGGGGAAGTCATTACGAGCTTGAGGGTTCGCGATTGATGTGATGGATACGATGGAGTGTCCGTGGGAGATTATACGAAGGCGTGCTTCAGTTCAAAGCGCCTTTTTTCACGTACCCCGTTTAAGTGCTGGCCAGGCAATGAAGCCCTTCCTCAAGACTCCGGTCTGCTTCCCAAGACGCTGATCTTCACAAGGTCCCGGCGCAAGAAAAAAGCGAACGAATCTCACATTCGAACAGGCATCTGACAGAAAAAAAACAAAAAGCTCAGCTACACAAGATCGGGATCGAACTCGCAACTAAGGAGGATACGACCGACCAGGTGGCTACCTACGAGAATACCACGTATTTTCTGGACCCAGCGCACTACGACAAGTTCTAATGGACGATGGTGAAAGGTCTACACTTGTGTGCTTATATGGTCCCATTAGGTTATGCCGCTGGAAGGTTAGGGGTGAGCGACATAAAAGCCGAGAACAAACTTTGAGGATGCACGGCTTTCCGGTCCCAACTTTTACACCTGTTGGCATGACTCGTTCGTATTCGAACATGTACGTTTCTTGTGATGTCTAATTTTGTGATGACCATCAAAGCGGCAAGTTGCTATGGCATTTCATTGTTGACAAACGCCGCACCTGCCAACGCTGTTTTGTTTCTCGGGTTGCTCCGCCGACCAGCCGTTTGCTATTACATCGTTTCTTCTCTGGCTCCAAGGCAATACTCGAGGGGAAAAATAAAAATGTGACCATTCAAAAAGTGGGCAAATAGAGGACAATAAATTGTGGCGAGAGGTGTCCAGAAGATGAAGGCAAGAGCAAGATTTCGAAGTGGAAGAAGTGAACGGAAGTGACGGGTTGATGTACCCCGCTGCTCGTCGCCCACCGCCGACACTCGCATCAAACCACCAAAGACAGCGAGCGGTATTGAAAGAAACGAAATTTGATCAAGACTAACATTACGAAATCGGCTAATAGGTAGGTAGGTAGTAGTAGTACTAAGGGATATGGTATCATGACTCAAAACCCGTAACAACAATACGCATCACATCAATAACTTCTTTTTTCTTTCCACCCACCGGGCATCTCTCCTTCAACACCGGGCCATCATCATTCCCCGGCCCCCACTAGGTCCTCCAGAGGCATGCATCTTCCACCACAGCATGCTTCAACACCAGGGCAACACTCACTGCAACATCTGCTGCATGGCATTCACCCGATAACTCTCCCTCCTTGCCATCAACTCACTATGCGTCCCCCTATCCACAACCTTGCCGCCCTCCACCACAAAAATCACATCCGCCTTCTGCACCGTATGCAATCTATGCGTAATCGCCAACACCGTCGTATCTCTCGCCACCTTCTCCAACCCCTCCTGCAACGCCGCCTCGCTAGCGGCATCCAGGGCGCTGGTACTCTCATCCAGCAACAACAGTCTCGGCTTCCTAACCAGTGCTCTCGCAATCGCCAGCCTCTGCCTCTGTCCACCACTCAATCTAGACGCCGAGGCGCCGCATTCCGTCTCGTACCCCTCCGGCAACGAAGCAATGACGTCGTGGATGGAGGCAAGACGGCACGCTTCTTCGATTTCGGCGTCCGAAGCCTCATGGCCTGGGCGCGCACCAAGTCCGACGTTGAACTTGACGGAACCGTCGAAGAGGGCGGGTTCTTGCGGGACGAGCGCAATGGAGTCGCGGAAGGTGTTGGATGATTGGGTAGAGGAGATGTCGACGCCGTCGATGGTGATGGAGCCCGAAGTCGGGGAGTAGAGACGTTGGACGAGGTTCATGATGGTGGATTTGCCGGCTCCTGAAGGGCCGACCAAACCGACGAATTGGCCGGGTTGGATGGTGAAGGAGACGGAGTCGAGGACGGGATGGTCCGGGCGAGAGGGGTAGGCGAAGGAGACGTCGGAGAAGGTGATTTGTACGCCGGACTTCTTTTGGGGGGAGAGGCGGGAGGCGGAGGATTCGCCGGTGGCTTCGGGGTCGGTAGAGGGGGAAGAAGAAGAGGAGTCGTGCACGTGGTCGTTGGAGCCTAGGCCGATGACGCCCAGAATGCGGGAGATGGCGAGACGGGCACGAGAGAACTCGGGCGCCAAAGAAAACATTTGGCCCCAGAGCTGCGCGGACACGAGCATGGCGACCAACACGATGAAGAAGTCGCGCTGCGAGTACTCGCCGTGCATAATACGCTGCGAACCCCACCAATAGGCAAAGGCGTAGACGAGGAAGGAGATCGAGTTGGCGAGGGCCAGCCAGATGTTGGTAAAGGCAGCCGCCTTGACCATTTCGTCGCGGTTGTTCTTGAGCAGGCGCTGGTAGGAGCCGAGCACCTCGTGCTCGAGCGAGAGGGCGGCCACGGTCTTGATGGTCTGCACGGCTTCGACGGCCACGGAGGTGGCTCTGTTGAAGGCCTCGGCGTGGCGCTCCTCGTAACGGGCAAGCATGCGGAGCTGCATCAGACCAGTGCCGAGGAGGATGGGCACGATGGAGAGGCAGACGATGGCAATCTTCCAGGCGAAGATGTGAGACAAGATGATGGCGGCGATGAAGTTGACGCAGATGGAGAAGACGGTGCCGATGGTGGAGCCGGAGAAGGCGCCCACCGAAGCGCTATCCTTGGTGATGATGGTCAACAGCGAGGATGGGCTGCGGCCCTCGGACTGGTGCCACTGCACGCCCTGTTCCATCAGAGAGCGGAATGACAGCACGCGCATGGCGTAGAGGAGCTTCTCGGCAATGAGAGCGAAGCACGACCAGGCGGCAAAGTTGGCGAAGAACTCAACGCAGGCAAGCATAAAGAGGAAGCCACCGAAGAACTTGCCGTAGTAGAGGACCTTGTCCATGCTGCCGCTGCAAGGGTTGAGAGAGCTGATGGTGAAGCCGAAGAGCACGCCGGAGCCGGAGAAAGTACCACCGACGATAACAGCCGCGAAGATGGCGATCACGAGCCAGCCGAGACTGGGGCGGAGGAAGCGGCCAAGAGAGCGGACAACGCTGCTCAGGGGACGCTTAGTGTCGATGCCGTCAATCTCGTCTCCACTAGGGGTGGCGGCCTCGGCGGCAGCGGGAGCGGGAGCAGGAGTAACAGCGACTTCAGAGGCAGAGGGCTTCTCGACAGAGGTTCCAGTAGCGGAAGAGGAAGACTCGATGGACTCGCCAGAGACAGAAGAACCGGCCTCGGCCTTGTGAGCAATACCAAGAGTCTGGAGATTGGCCATCTTGGCGAAAGCACCGTCCTCCTTGGCCATGAGCTCGTCGTAGGATCCTTCCTCAATGACCTTGCCGGCTTCCATGACGACGATCTTGTCGGCGTTGCGGATGGTGGACAGACGATGGGCGATGGAGATGACGGTCCTGCTCTTGGCAGCACGGTCGACGGCTTCCTGGATGCGGCGCTCAGAGGCAGAGTCCAAGGCGGAAGTGGCTTCATCAAGGAGAAGAATCTTGGGATCACGGATCAAAGCTCTGGCGAGAGCGACACGCTGGCGTTGACCACCACTGACCATGGAACCAGAGGGACCGGCATAGGTGCCGTAGCCCTTCTCGAGACGTTCGATGAAACCAGCGGCGTCGGCCTCAGTGGCGGCATGTTGAATGAGGTTGATGATCTCTTGGACGAGAGGACCGAAGGAGCTGACGATGGCGGGATCGATGGAGTCCTTGCCCTTCTTGGCCAAGTCGGCCAGCTCGTGGCTGTGGAGGATGTCCTTGAGACGCTGGTGTTCGGGCTTGGGAGAGTTGATAAGGCCGAGAGCAATGTTTTCCAGAATGGAGCGGTCGAGAAGAGAGGGTTCTTGTTGGACCAAGCTGATGAACGAGCGCAGGCTGCGAACATTGAGCTCCTTGAGATCGTAGCCGTCCATGGTGATTCTGCCAGAGTTGGGATCCTGGAGACGACTGATCATGGCCGCCACCGTGGACTTGCCACTGCCACTGAGACCGACAATAGCAGTGTGCTTGCCAGCAGGGAAGGCCAAGTCGACGTTCTTCAAGACCAGCTGATCAGGGCGGCTGGGGTAGGAAAAGGAGACATTCTCGAAGCGAATCTCGCCACGAGTCTCAAAGGGAAGGACGACGCCCTTGTCGGAAGTACCGTCGATGAGGGAAGGCTCCTCGATGTCCTTCATCAGTCTGTCGAAAGCAGCCTGAGCACCACCCAGGAGGGGCAGCAGGGGAGAGATGTTACCAAGGACAACGCAAGCATCGACCAAGATGAAGATGACGGTGTAGATCTGACCGATAGTCTCGGTGCCCTTGCCAGCCATGGCATCCGCCACCATGCGCGAACCCTCCCAGAAAGCCAGCGCGTTACCGGCGTAGGCGATGAAGTACAGCAGACCAGCCTGAACGGCAGCCGACATGCCTCTCTTGATACCAGCATCCCGAGCCGTAGCCATGTGATCAGCGAACTTGGCCTCCAGTCTGGGCGCGGCACCAAAAGCCTGGACGACAATGACGTTCTTGAGAGCCTCGGAGGCAATGGACGAAGCGCTGGCAATGGCGCCGGCGGCCTTGATCATGTACTTTTGGAAGTAAGCGCCGCCCACCAGACCCATGGCGAGATAAGCCGGGATCATGGAAATCAAGATACCAGCCAACTTGGCCTGCTTGATGAAAGCAACGACGTAGGCAGTGATGAAGAAGCTGATACTAGCCAGCAACACGCCCACCTTCTCCGACGTACCAGCCTGCAGCGCGGCCATGTCGCCATGCAACCGGGTGCTAACCTCTCCGCCAGCGGCACGAGTATCGAAGAAGGCGGGCGGCTGGCGCAACAGAGCAGAGACATACTTGTTTCTGAGGCGGGCGGCGAGGCGTTGGCTGATGAGACTCCACGAGAGCACGTAAATGTAGATGAGGCAGAAGGCGGCAATGGCGATGTAGACAATGATGAGCACCTTGTCGTTGATGTCGTGCTCATACCGGAAGGGGTTGGCGTCATGTTGCTCGGCCGCGCACGAGGCGCCGTTCATGTCATCGACCAGTTGGCCGAAGACGATGCCCATGAGCGGGAAGGGCACGCCGGCTGCCAGGGCGGAGATGGTGCCGATGAGGAGGAGGAGGTAGTCGGTCCATGTTGGGTCGGCGGAGAAGAAGATGCGGACGTAGCCGAAGAGTTTCTTGGTGAGCTGTGGTGGTGAGGTTTGGTGTTAGTATGTTATGTGTGAAAGAAAGGTCGTACGTCAAGTGATGGGTGGTGGTGTTGACATTAACCCCTGAATGGGCATCAACATCAACATCAACACCACCATATCGATAACCCAACCACTAGACCAGGTCATCACTATGGGAGTAGCAATCGATATTGATATCACCATCGACATGACGATAAGATATCAAACAGAAACTGGGTTGGGGTAATCTACTAACCGGTTCCTTTGGCGGTGCTGGTGGTGGTGGTGTAGCAACTGCCGTCTCAGCTACAGGTGTCTCAGGCGCTGCTGGCGGCTTCTCAGCCAGGCCCTTTTCCTCAGCGGGCATGGTGAAAAGGGATGGATGGTGGTTATATCCGCGGGTGAGTTCGGTTTACCGCCCCCTTTTCTTTCGTCCTGCTGTTTTTTTTGTTTACCTACCCACTTTCCCTTGTTTGTTTTTGTTTTCACCTCATGCAGATGTTTGGAGATATTGGGAGAATGAACGATAAAGTAAAAAAGAGATTTTGATATTGCGAATGGGAAATCTAAGAGGGCCGGAACGTTCCGTGGATTGATGGATGAGAGTGAAAGGGTTGGGTTGGGTTTGGTCTGGGTCTGGGTCTGGTTCTGGGTTCAAAGATTCCGACCGAAAAGACAGATCAGATCAGATCAACAAGCCAAAGAACAGAACCGACTGGCTGGCTGGATGGAGCATGTCAACACTCTTTTCTTCTCTTCTTCTTCTTCTTCTTCGACTTTCAGTTCCATCCACCTCAAGGTGTCATGGGGGAGTATGTAGTGGAAAATGACATTTTTTTTACCTTGTCCCCTTCTTCGTGTGTCCCGCCGTTTTCCCACACCACCACCTACCTGCCACCCACCCCCCTTTTCCGCCCGCCCACCATCGACTCCTCTATCCTACTCTCTGCAGCAGTGCCGGTGGATGCCCCCCCCCCCCCCCGGATGGAGTTGCACCGTGTCACTACATAATGAAACCCGATGCCGGGGCTTGGCAAAGGCGGATCTGATAACCAAAAACGACAGGCCGGACGGATCTGATAAAATTTTTTCTCCTTTGGACACCCCACCATTGCGCGTTCACTTCCTGTTGCCGACTCCACTTTGTCGACGGCGGGGTGGGACCGTGGGACAGCGACAGGAGCCAATGATGCAAACAAACACATTCTTCGTTGGCCCGGGGCTGGGGACCAAGACCAACAAACGGCAAAAAAGACGCAAAAAAAAAACGTCTTGGCCATGTTGTGCTTAGTTATGCTTCCCCTTTCCCCTTTTCCGCGCCTTCGAGTATCTTCACGGGCCTTTTTGTTTGCAAGCTTGTAAGCTTTGGTTGCGGCTCCCCTGCTCTGGTAAAGTACCTGGTTTTTGACGAGAGTCACCAACGCATCCTGGCCTGCTCGTTCGTTTTTATCAGATCTTTTTCTTGTTTCGTCCTTCGTCTTCGTTGTTCGTCCTTTTTTTTTTCTCTTCTCTCCTTGTGCATACATACACCCACCCCCTTGGGGTTTGTGCAAAGATCTTATCTGATCCGAGAGATTTCACCTCAGCTCTCGGCTCGGGTCTCACTGCATGGCCAAGGTTGTTTGACCTCGGGCCGGGAGTTTGATGTAGGTTTTGTTCACCGCACTCTTCCTTTGTGGCACCTCTTGAAATGCTTCCGCTTCTCACTCACTGCAATGAGTTCGCGACCGAACGTAAAAGCACCATGCCATGATCAGCTTCACTAGAAGAACTTGGACTTTCTATCCATCACTTTATTCACGACAACATTGCCCGTGTCAATTCTTCGTCTCTGGACGGTAACGACACCAGCTCCAACTTCCAAGTGGAGTTCAAGTTCAATTCCGTTTTCTTTTCAAATCCCACATTCCTGTTACGTACAAGGTCGACAATGCGCTGCTGCAACCCTGCTGCATACGTATGCATGGCGTCTTCTTTCTTCACAGTGCTTGCTATCATCGCCTCACACTGAATCAAATGTCTGCTCTTCCCTTCAGAGGCTCCGTCCGTCCTTGCATTATCTGATGATCAGATAAAAAAAATTTGCCTCCCCCCCCCCTTGTTCCTCTTGGGCAAGGTAGTCCTGGTCAGTGGTCTTGGAGGTGACTCTTGGAGAGGGTCGTGATGTTAGGGAAAGCAGGGGAAGCAGGGAGAGAAAGGGTAACGGGATCGGAGTTACGAACGGTTCGGTCGACGGCGGAGGTGAGACCGCGAGAGTGATGAGTGATGCAAGTGGCCCGGGACAGGATACACTACAGAGGGCAGGTAAAGGCGGGATACAGTACTGTGTACACGTCTAGTGACTGGACGGCGACGACATATGGCTGGACTGAGGATGAGAACTGGACAAGTGTCAGCGTTGCCGATGATGATTTCTACCTAGTGTAGCATGGCGTTGGGGCTCGGAATGAGGCTATAACAGCGGCTCTGGCGAACTGATATTGGGTTTGATGCCAATATCACTCGATGCTGGGCCTTGGTCTCATTGAAATGCAAAAGTCACAGCTCGCACAGCTGTAATGGGGTATTTATTGTATCCTTTCAATCGTACACGCTCTTGACATCACATCAACAGTTCTGATACATTCCTTTCCATCCTTCACTAAACCTTTTCCATCCTTCACTAAACCTTTTCCTTGTCCGTCCTTACAGGCCGGTCCTCGCCGGGGTCTTGATCATGAGCGGCACCTCGACATCCGTTTCCGTTCCCAATACCTCCTTGCTATGAACCACGCTCGCCTTCTCCTTCGGCACCCTTACAAAGCCCATCTTCTTGTACAACCCCTCGGCAGACGCCGACGACTCCAAGTAAATGGGCAGATTGCTATCATTGCTCAAGTTGACAAGCTGCTTGACAATCATGGCTCCCGCACCACGACCCTGATGCTTGGGATCTACCGCGATGGCATGGACATCTGTTTATATATATCCCATTAGTTCTGCTCACCTTTCCAACACTCGTCGTTTCCAGACCCCAAGAACTTACAGATATACGCCCCACCACCCATGACCTTCTCCCTCGCCTCACAAAGCGGTCCCAGGATCTGATCCGCCCTCTCCCGCTGCTCGCCCGCCAGCCAGGGGATCCCAGGATAGGCCCGCTCCTCTTTTGTTGCCTTGGGCTGGATAAACACGTCACAGAGCGCCATGCCGACGATTTCGCCGGTGGCTACGTCGACGCACTTCCAGGTGTACTGCGACTCGGCTTTGTGCAGCCATGCTAGGGTCCCTTCGGTGTGCGCCTTGCGGAACTCGTCGGAGGTGTAGCCGTCGGGAAATAGGATTTCGAGAATTTTGCGCCCGTCGGGGTCGGCGGTGAAGGCGGAAAAGTAAGTGTCGTAGAGGGGCTTGATGTCGGGGATGAGGGCGGGGAGGACGGCGAAGGGCATTTTGATGATACGATCTGGTGATAGTGATACTGATTTCTGTCGATTATCGGCGGCTACTAGGCGTATAGTATTACTGGTTGCAAGTATGATACGTCCGTCGGTATGGATTCAGGATGTCTGTTGGGATCGAATTCAGATTGGGCGCAATGGAGTTTTCGATATACATATCACATAAAACTTGGTTCACTGGGGGAAAATGGCACATTCATCACGGCTAGAGATAGACTATACTGATATCACCGTGATTGGGATCGCCGACTGCGTCGATTCAGCCATGTTAGCCTTACCATTCAACCACACAGCAGACGCTGACGCGCGTCGCCATTTGCCAACAATGGATGGATTCAATGCATCTTTATGCGCGCTAGAATCCGCATTCACAATAAACGAAGAAAACAATGGAGGCAATAGCGAAGATCAATGGTGGAGGATATGGAAATGGAACGAGTCAATGGCATTGTTTGGATGGGACGCTGGCGCGAACGGTCCCCGCCCGTCCTCCGCTTTTCGGCGGCCCGCTTTTTGTTGGTGGTGGTGATGCCGTGGTACCGGAGCAAATTCGATGAGATGAGATGCTGCACGGCCACTCACTCGATCAACACACTCGACGACCACACACACGATACGCTCGGCATACATAATGGAGAACAGCAACATCCATCACAAAGGTCGATGGCGGTTCATTGCTGGGTAGAAATCACCTACACGGAAGAATCCAAGGGCGAAAAGACGAACACGACTTGAAGAAAAAAAAAAACTGGGAAGCAGCCCCTGGAAAGAAGTGAAGAATCCACACTGTCCTGTCCCATTAAAGTTATCAGATCCGATGATCCGTTGTTTTCCTTCTCTTCTTCACGAGCCTCCGTTTTGCGGTTCCATTGTTTACCCCACCATGGCAACGCAAACGGACTCCACACTCGAAGGACGGTGGAGGAACCGGCCGGAAGGGACAGGACAGGGGACCGACCAAAATTTTCTCACTTTTTCCAGCACTTGAACCCTGGGGACGTTCTTTCTGGATATTCAGTGTGGTTGGTGTGGTGAACGACTTTGAACGCCCAAGCGAAAACCATATCCACTGGCCAATTGTGAGGTCGGATCCAAGGAGACTGGGCAGAGTTGCTCGGCCGAGTTGACGGCAGGAACTCCTTCTTTGGTAATGTCACGAGTGTGGTGTCACCAATTCTTTCAAAGGCGAGTTCATTCATTTTGAAGAACAGAAAAAAAAAAAAAAAAAAAAGATGAATGTGTCACACCAATCTACACGCCTCTTCTTTTCCAACCGAGGATGGTTCCCCCGAAGAGGTCCCACGTTCCCCGCCACGTTCAATCTCAACGTCTCTCAGTCCCGGATCAAATCTTATCAGATGGTGATGATCAAGGATGAAACTCGCGCGTGTGATCCATTCCGAATCCTTTACCTTTGGCCCACACGCACAGCACCACGCGCGGATGAGGAGGGAACCTTGTCGTCGAACCTTACGACCACCACCACCACCACTTCCGATACGCGGTGCTATCCTGAGCCGAGTGGGGTGAGTCTAGCCAGATGCTTTCGACCTTCCTTCGTTTCGTTCCCTGTGATAGCCACGCGCGTGTAGCTTTGTCACCGGACCATGCCACGGCCCAGTCACGTTCAGCCATGGCGGTTTTCTCTAGTGAAAAGAGCCTCACCAACAGCTTCATCATCGTCTTCTGCCCTTGATTGAAAATAAACAAGTGTGAAAACAGACATACGGTAGGACGGGAATAGACTCATACACAACCCTTTCCCATCTGTGTCCTTCCTTCCTACCAACGGACCCTCCACCACGTCCTGTCCTCATCTCGCCCGCTTATTTACCCCATATTGTGTAATTCCAGCCATTCGTTCATCACTCAAGTCGATCATCGACGTCACCGTATCTTCTATCCTATCTTACCCGTCCATCGACGTATCACAACAACACGCGCAAGAGCGGCAGTAATACGCCTCTCTTTCCAACATACCCACCGAGTCGATAATCCAGTACTCCCAAAAAGGAACCAGTGACACACCACCACCATCACCATGCAGCAAGTCGTACAAGGAGCCCTCTCTTTTCTCGGCCTCAACGGCCAGAGCAGCAACACCACCAGTCACCTCTTCGACACACTAGGTCTGGAGACAATATCCAGGCCACTGTCCATACCAACACAAAACGGCGTTTCCTTACTAGACGCATCTCTCCTAGCATGGCTGTTGCTTCTCCAGAGAGAGCGAGGAGAAGATGATCGGGTAGAAAACTTCAACTGGGGACGGAGAACAGCTGATGGGGCGGAAACGTCGTCACAGTTCTCTGTCAAGGCAGTGTTGGGTTCTGAAGGGCTTGATCAAACGGTGACTGTGAAGAATGTACTTGAGGCGCTGAAGAAGGTCACCGGGCAAGAGGTGACAGAGGAGAACAGGACGTTGTTCTTCAATGATGGAAAGGAGGCGCCCGAGAAGATCAAGGAAGAGGGATATGAGACTGCTCAGCGGCCGGTATGTCTTCTCTCCTCCCAGGTTCGAGTTGCCGTGACTAACATGATCATCAGAACTGGAAATTCCAACTCGAGCTCTTTCCCTCAGAAGACGCCGAGCAACATGACCTCGCTCTCCAAGTCTACTGGTTCAAGAACGTTCTCGACGCTCTCACCACTTCCCAAGTCACCATCCGCCTGAACGCCTTCACCGAGCTTCTCAACCTCATCCTCTCCTCTCCCGAGACAACCTCCATCTCCTCCCTCCTCGCCCCTCTCCCCTGCGATCTTAATCAGATCTGGGCCTTCAACGCCGTCGTGCCCCCCTTGATCGATCGCACTATGCAGGACATCATCTCCGAGCAAGCCGCCGCCAACCCCTCCAAGCCGGCCGTCTCCTCCTGGGACGGCGAGTTCACCTACGCCGAGGTGGAGTCGAAGTCCGACCTTTTGGCTCGCCACCTGGTCTCCCGCGGCGTTAAGCTCGGCGGCGTGGCCCCGCTCATGTTTGAGAAATCCCGCTGGACTATCGTCGCCTTGCTGGCCGTAATGAAAGCCGGCTCAGCATTTGCTCTCACCGATCCCACCTCGCAGCCTGAAGGCCGTTTGCGCGTGATGGTCGAGCAGACCGGTGGCGACATCATCGTCGCTTCTGCTTCCCAGACTGAACTTGCAGAGGTCTGTCTCCCCTCTCCTTCTGGAGGAAGCAAAGGACAGGTCATCACCGTCTCTGATGAGCTATTTACCATCCTCTCTCAAACCCCCGAGCTTACCACGGTGACACTGCCCGTGATCCCCACAGAAACAACTCCCCTCTACATCCAATTCACCTCCGGCTCCACCGGCAAACCAAAAGGCGTCGTCATCTCCCACGCCAACTACACCTCCGGCGCCCTGCCTCGCGCCGAAGCAGTCGGTTACAAGTCTTCTTCCCGCTGCTTCGAGTTCGCTTCCTACGCTTTTGACGTTTCCATCGATTGCATGCTCTGCACCCTCGCTGTCGGCGGAACCATCTGCATTCCGTCTGACGCTGATCGCATGAACGATCTCGGGGGCGCCATTCTCAAAAGCGGAGCAAACATGGCGCACATGACTCCTTCCGTTGCTCGAGTGCTTGATCCAGAAGTTATCAAGGGTCTTGATGTCCTTGGCTTGGGCGGTGAAGCAGTCTCTGCTGCTGATGCAGCTGCTTGGTCGCGCGGCAAGACATCGGTGATTGTTGCGTATGGACCGAGTGAATGCACTGTTGGATGTACCGTCAACAATGTCTTTGCGAGAGACGAGGAGGCCAAGAAGAAGGGGTTCACTACCGGAAACATTGGTACCGGCGTTGGTGGATGCGGATGGGTCGTTGATCCCAATGATCATGACCGTCTCGTGCCCGTGGGAGCAGTGGGTGAATTGCTCATGGAGGGCCCGGTCGTGGGACTTGGGTACCTCGGTGAAGAGGAAAAGACCAAGGAGGTGTTCATCGAAGACCCCAAGTGGCTCATTGCTGGGCATGGCGATGCTCACCCGGGCAGAAAGGGAAGGCTGTACAAGACTGGTGATTTGGTCCGGTACGATGCCGATGGTTCGGGGGCTTTTGTCTTTGTTGGACGCAAAGATGCACAGGTCAAGCTGAGAGGCCAGAGAGTGGAGTTGGTTGAGATTGAACACCATTTGCGTGCCAAGTTGCCAAGTGGTGTGAAGATTGCTGCTGAGGTCATCAAGCCTAGTGGTGGTGATCCTACGCTGGTTGCTTTCCTGGCGGAGACGAGCTCAACGGGTATCTCGGCCAAAGACGCCTTGCAGAGTGTTGTTGAGGGTGAGGTTAGCTTCTCTCCTGAGCTGCAGGCTGCGCTGGATGGGATTGAGGAGGTGCTGGGCATTGATCTGCCTAGGTACATGGTTCCTAATGCGTATATCCCCCTTCGTGAGATGCCCTCGCTTGTGTCGGGCAAGATTGATCGCAAGACGCTGAGGGCTATGGGAGCTGCGATGACCAGGGAGCAAGTCTCTGGTAGTGCGAAGAGGGCCAAACAGTGTGGCGATGGCGGTGCTCCTACTACCGAGATGGAGATTGCTCTTCACAAGGTCTGGAAGCAGTTGCTCGGTACTGAGCAGGAGATTGCCGCTGGCGATAGCTTCTTTGGTGTTGGCGGTGACTCTCTCAGGGCCATGAGACTCATTGCTGCTGCCAGAGCGGAGGGCGTCAAGCTCACTGTTGCTGATGTCTTCCGGTATCCCGTCCTCAGAGACATGGCTGTCGTCGCCACCAAGGTTGACACACAAGACGCGGATGGCAAGGATAGCAATGAGGTTGCTCCCTTCTCTCTGCTTGAAAGCGACTGGGCTATCGAAGACGTCAAGGCCGAGGCCAGCAAGCACTGCGATATCGATAAGGACGCCGTCGAGGACGTCTATCCCTGCACGCCCCTCCAAGAAGCCCTCATGGCTTTGTCCGCCAAGGTTAAGGAAGCCTACGTTGCCCAGCGTGTGCTCAAGATGGAAGGCCAAGCCGCCGCTGACAAGCTCAAGGCCGCCTTCGAAGCCATCAACGTCGACTGCGCCATCCTCCGCACCCGCATCATCCACTCCCCGCGCGGCCTGATGCAAGTCGTCGTCAAGGAGCCTCTGCACTGGCACTCCGCCCCTACCCTCGCCGAGTACCTCGAGACCGACCGCAACGAAGAAATGGACCTCGGCAAGCCTCTCGTGCGCTACGGCCTCATCCAGGACGGCGACGCCTACCACTTTGTCCTGACCATGCACCACGCTTTGTATGATGGCTGGTCCATGCCCCTCGTCGTCGACCGCGTCAACCAGGCCTACCAGGGTCTCGTCCCCCGCAAGCCCGCCGCGGAGTTCAAGCACTTCATCAACTACCTCAACAACACCCTCGACCGCGCCGCCTGCGACGCCTACTGGAAGGATCAACTCGCCGGTGCCACCGGTTCGCAATTCCCCGCCTTGCCATTTGAGGGGTACCAAACCCGCGCCGACTCCCTCTGGGAGCTCTACGTCTCTCTCGACGGGCGCAAACCCCCTTCTTCGCCCAACACCACCATCACCCTCGCCACCATCGTGCGCGCTGCCTGGGCCCTGGTAGCCAGCCAATACACAGCCGGCAACAACGACATTGTCTTCGGCGAGACGCTCACGGGGCGTAACGCCCCCATCGTCGGCGCAGATGAGATCGAAGGTCCCATGATCACCACCGTTCCTGTTCGCGTGTGTGTTGATCGCGAGCAGACTGTCGCCGAGTACTTGCAGCAGGTAGCTGAACAAATGATCACGCAGATCCCTTACGAACACGCAGGTCTGCAGCACATCCGTCGCTTGTCCGACGACGCGCTGCAAGCGTGCGAGTTGAGGACGGGTATTGTGCTGCATCCTGCTGCGGGCGAGGTGGGCGTTACGGAGAACACGCCGGCGAATGGACTGGTTCCGGCGGGTGATACCGAGGCGGCGCAGGAGGCGTTGAAGTTCAATACGTATGCGTTGATGCTGGTTTGCTCGTTGGAGGCGGATGGGTTCCTGGTCATGGCGTCTTTTGATTCCAAGACGGTGGAGATGGGTGTGGTCAAGAAGGCGTTGGATCAGTTGCAGGTGGTGGTGAGGCAGTTGTGTGAAGAGGGCAGTGGGGAGAAGAAGGTGGGACAGTTGGAGTGTTTGACGGAGAAGGATCAGGAGGAGGTGAAGAAGTTGGTGGGTGTTACGAACCTCACTGCTGAGTCTGATCCTTTTGTTGGGGGTATCACTGCGGAGGATGTGGAAGGGGTGTGGATTGTTGATGCTGCTGATGCTGGCAGGCTGGTGCCCGTTGGTGCGGCGGGCGAGTTGGTTGTTGAGACCATCAAGGAACTTGCTGCGCCTGTTACTCTTCTCGCTGAGAAACCGGCCTGGTACGAGGGAAGCAAGAAGCTATACAAGACTGGTCAGCTCGCCAAGTTCAAGGTCGACGGCGAGTCTGCCTCCCTCTGCATCCTTAAGGCTACCGAGCCCAAGACCGAGGTGGCCAAGAAGAAGGTTGCTTCCTCCGTCGCTCCCTTCGCTGTTGCTGCCACTTCGGCCAAACAAAAGACACTGCGCAAGATTTGGGCCAAGCTGCTCAAGGTCAAGGAGGATAGCATCTACCTCGGCGATAGCTTCTTCAACCGCGGTGGTGACTCCATTACTGCCATGAAGCTAGTGTCGGAGGCACGCCAGCAGGGTCTCAAGATTAGCGTTGCGCAGGTTTTTGCCAACCGCACGCTGTTCGACATGGCCAATGTCATGCAAACCACCGGTGCCGTGGTTGACGCCTCGGAGAAGGTTGAGACCGAGTACAAGCCTTTCTCTCTCCTCGAGGAGAACAACAAGGCCAGCATCATGAAGGTCGTCAAGAACAGTTTGGTCGACAAGTCGTGGACCATCGCCGACATCCTCCCCACCCGTCCCCTCCAGGAGATCGCCGTCCGCGGCACCGTCGAGCTCCCCCGTTTCTCTCTCCGCTACGAGCTGATGCACTTCAACGGCATAGTTGACAAGGCCGCCCTCTTCCGCGCGTGCCACGAAGTCGTCGCACGCAACGAAATCCTACGCACCGTCTTCGTCCGCGACGCTTCCAACACCTGCTACGGCGCCGTCATCGACAACCTCATCACCTCCATCGCCGAGTACGAAATCGACGCCGACGCCGACGTCAAGGACTTCGCCTCCCAAGTGTGCCGCCTCGACTCCCAGACTCGCATGCCATACGGCTCCTCCTTTGTGAAATGGTTCTTCATCACCAACGGCACTTCCCAATGCTCCCTCGCCTTCCGGCTATCGCACGCCCAATACGACGAGATCTGCCTCCCCATCATGCTCCACCAGTTCCACCAGCTCTACTTGTCTTCCCCAGAGTCTTCCATCCCTCCTTCCTACCCCTTTTCCCACTTCATCGCACATACCCTTCGCGACTCCATCCCCGCCGCCATTCCCTACTGGCGCAACCTCCTCTCCGGCTCAAGCGGAATCACCCGCTTCCGCCCTTCCACACCCATCACGTCCCGGAAGCACTTCGCCATCCACCGCGCCGTCAACATCTCCTCCCGCTCGCGCGACGTCACCATCGCGACCCTTCCCTCCGCCGCCTGGGCTTTGGCTCTCGCTCGCCACGTGGGTAGTCCAGACGTCCTCTTCGGCGAAGTCTCCTCCGGTCGTTCCGTCGACGTCCCTGGCATCAAGGACACCAACGCCGTCACTGGCCCGACATGGCAATACGTACCTGCCCGAATCCAATTCAATAACGCGTCCAAACCTCTTCGTACAGGCCACGATTTGCTGGTGGAGATGCAGACACAGCATATGGCTTCTTCAGCGTATGATTGTATGGGGCTGGAAGAGATTGTCAAGACTTGTACGGATTGGAAACTGGAAAAAGATATGTGGTTTGATACTGTGGTGCATCAGGATGTGGCGCATGTGGAGAAACTGGAGTTTTCTGTTTCTGGGGATGGGGGAGAGGAAAAGAAGACTGGAGCAAAGGCGGAGTTTGAAACGATGTATTGCTTTGAGGAACCGTTGAGGGAGTGGAAGGTGCAGGCTTTTAGGGATGAGAAGGGCGAGGAGATGGTGTTGGAGATTGTCACGATGGAGTGCTGGAAGGAGGAGGCGGAGGTGGTGTTGGGAGAGGTTTGTGAGGCGTTGAAGCAGTTGGTGGAGAGGCCTTGGGAGGAGTTGGATGTTGCGAGGTTGGAGGAGTAGGTTTGAGTTTGCTAAGCGGTGACAGAGCGTCGTTGTTGTGGTTTCAATGGGGGTTAGTGTACAAGGGTGATTTTGTACGCTTGTTGATTATCTTGGTTGTCTGTCCTGCTTGGTACTGTGTTAATATTTGTTGACTAACGTTCTTGGATTTATGATTTTCCGTCTGTTCGTGTACGTATTTTTGTTCTTTTGCTGGTTCGATGCTTAAAATTATGGATTCCCATCGCAAGACTCTACAGACAGCTGAGAGTCCTATTACCAACCCTTTGATCAGTCTCAAATTGAACAACTCAGTCGCCATCACAATTTACTAGTTGCACTAACAGCCTACCTCCGTGTGCAGGCAAGCAATCTGTTAGTGTCACCAGCGTACTGATTGACCCCTTTGGTTGCTGGCACATGACATTCTCGTGAAAGGCAAACGAACCATTTCCGGCTTCCGAGAGAGATATATACACATATCCGCCATGAGTGGCCAATGGTTTTTGAACAGTAGAGTTGTATGAGCCGCAAAGCGTTCCGCGTGTGTTTCTGTCCGTGTTGCCTGTCATGGCTGTCAAAGACACATGATGGTGTTGGTAATTCGACATACCCGACTTAGGTTGGATACTACGTGGTTCATACTTCTTCTTCCGGACTTTGTTGAACCATGAGGACAATCTTGCAACGCGCCCTATAAAAGTCATTATCCTTCCTGACAAAAGCCAATAGTCCTTCTATACTTGAACGCCAACTCTCGTCTCTTGTCTCGCTTCTTATTATACCTATTCCACTGACCCCACCCAATAACAACCCACCACCTTCAACAATGTCCTCCCTCAGATCCCTCCTCTTTCTCAGTCTCTTCTCCCTCCTCCAATACCATGCTTCTCTCGCCCTTGCCCTACCCACTACCACAACCACCACAACCACCAACAACGACATCCTCACCCCCAGCTTAAACACCCCCAACGACCCAAACTTCGACCTCAATAACCCCGTCCTCAACTCCAACTACAAACCCAACGTAACCGAATTCAGCACCACCGACCATCTCCTTGACGACGTGACACTCATCTGCCCTTCCCCCCGCGCTCCTCAGTTCGGATCCACCTCCGGTGCCTGGAAGGTTCTCAACCATCTCAAGACACTGGACAACAACGGTCCGCCTCTCCCTGGAGTTTTTGAGCATGCGGATGGGTGTAGACGGATGGGATGTGAGGAGGGGTTGGGTGTGTTTTGGTGTGTTGGGGATGTGAGTTTCCTTTTTTCTCTCTCTTTTTTTCTTCTTCTTCTCCTTCTTTTTTTCTCTCTCTTTTTCTCTCTCTTTTTCTCTCTCTTTTTCTCTCTCTTTTTCTCTCTCTTTTTCTCTCTCTTTTTCTCTCTCTTTTTCTCTCTCTTTTTCTCTCTCTTTTTCTCTCTCTTTTTCTCTCTTCCTTTTCCCCTTGTTTTTTTGCTTTGTTTTCACCTCTCCTTCCAGGGTTCTGTACTTAAATATAGTAAAAAGAAGGAAGAGAAAAAAAAAAAAAGAAAAACAGAAAAAAAAAGAAAAAAAAAGAAAAAAAAAACAGGCTGATGGCTAACGAACTTTGTTTGACAGGTGGCATGGACCTACCAAAACGCGCCTACTTACAAGACGCTAGCTGAGCAGGCTCAGATGGTGCTTGATCTGGAGAAGTGTAGGACGACGGACGCGACGAATACGAGGCCTTTGGTTGCTGGGGAGGCGGTGTATGGGGATCATGCGTGGAGTGTGGTTTTGAAGGGGGTGGATTGTAAGGCAGGGCAGGAGTGAGGGGGGGCTTTGGGAGAGTTCCATGAGGGTTGGAGAGTGTCCTAAAAACATGGTGATGGTCATGTTGAGAGATGCTATTGGCTTGCTTTAGTCCAATATGATTTCCTGTTTGTTTCTCAGCAACAGAACAGCGTTTTGTTTAAGGTAAGAAAGGGGGATATCGCTGCGATATGTACGTAGAGACAGATCGTGCGGTAATATTTCACCTATCCACCTCATAAAACTGCCTCCCACCTGAACTAAAAAACAACAAATCCTACTTCCATGAGATTCAACATCAAAGAACCAAAACCTCTCATTTCATCAAGTATCATACATCACTGAACTCCATCCGCCCTCAGATGAAATCCTTCACAACCTCCCAAAACCCCTCCGGGCACTCACACATCGGCAAATGTCCCGCCTCCTTCACCACCTTCAACTCTCCCCCCTTCTCCCCCAATAGACCCCTAAACCCATCCATAGCCCTCACCAACGCCCCCTTCCCATCCCCCTCCCCCACCACAAACAATCCCTCCACCCCTTTAACCTCCCTCATCTTCTCTCGCAAATCATACCCCCACAGCGCCTGACAACTCCACCTGAACCCCTCTACACTATTCCCCGCCACCATCTCCGTCATCCACTGCACCACCTCCTTCTTCTTCTCCATCGTATTCGGATGGAACCACCTCTCCACTGTAACCCCCGCCAACTGTTCCTTTAACCCCCTACCCTCATCAGCTTCAGCAACGGCAATCCGATCCTTCCATGCTTGGGTATTGGCTTCGGAGCTCGCAGCATTAAAGTCGCACGCTACGAACTTTTGCAAGCGCGAAGGATGACGAATAGCAAAGTTGAGCGTCGTGGCGCCGCCCATGCTTACGCCTACCAGAGTCTGCAGCTTATCGATGCGAAGGGCATCGAGAAGAGAAGCAAGGTCGTCCGCTAGGAGGTCTAGAGTTGCTGGTTGCGGCGGGGACGGAATAGAATGACGACCGCGCGTGTCGTACCGCAGGATACGCAAGTCAGGTCGAGATGTCTTGAGGATCTTCACTAGGGGGTCCCACATGTGTAGAGAAGTAAGGAGGGAGTTGGAAAAGGCAATGACGGGGGCAGAAGGGGAGGGGTTGCCTTCTAGTTGGTACGGAATAATCAGGCCATCGTGCGGGGTGGTGATGTAGCTACTGATAATGGGACTATCGACACTGGTGCCAGGAGTGGTGGTGAGGCGGGGGGAAACAGCGGAAAAGGCGGCGGAGGCGGGTAAGGCTGCGAGGTGCTGCAAGTCGCGGGGGGCGGGACCAAAGACGTAGAAGAGCGAGTAGGTCCTGCGGCCTTTGGTGGTGATGTACTTGTTGAAAACCTCGGTGCGCCAGGGCGTGTCCATAGAGGCCTTGTGCTCGGGGCCGCCGAGGCCGTTTTCGGCGGCGTATTCGTGCAGGGTGATGATTTTGGTTTCACCGGCGTTGGAACCTTCGATGGATGAAGGCATGCGCAAAACACGACTGCGCAGCCACCCGGGGATCTTGGACAGAATGGGGATGTGTTCCTCCTGGTACCACTGGATGACCTTCTCGGCGGCGTCAGGCTCTTGGGTCAGGTTGAGCGAGACGTCGACAGCCACCAGGACGCGGCCCTCTGCTTCGGCGTCAGTGCACTGCTCGGCCGGCTTGAAGGACGGGGCTTCTTGGGTCCAGATGAGATCGAAGAAGAAACGGTCGACCTTAACCTGGCCGATGGTCTCGGCCTCGCGGGAGGACCGGTTGGCGCGCAGATCGAGGTAGGTGGGCGTCAGGAGGTGAGCCATGTCGGTCACGTCGTAGGCGGCCAGAAAGTGCGGCTGTTGGCCGTCGGTGGCTTGGTAGCGCAGGCCGTTGGAGAAGATCTGGGGAAGACGCAGACGGGTAGGGCCATGCTCGTTGTTGTACCATTCGTGGAACTGATCGAGCGAGAGACCCTCCTGGGGCTGCATCGTCACGTAGAGCATTCCCTGTCCGTTCTTTGCGGCCGCCATTGTTGCTGCTGCTGTTGGGTCTCTTGAGATACTGGATTTGGTGGTGATGAGAAGTCAAGAGAACACGTAGTACCTGTAAAGCTTGGGATGTATTGATGAGGTTGATGTCTGGATGTTGACCAACTCGTTTTTGGTGGAGCAATTCGCTAAGACCCGATGTCAACTCCCGCTGTGGGCCTGTTGTTTCTGACAGTGTTTGGTGATGGTTTGTTTACACCAAAATCTGTGCAATGGAATGGGAAAATATCACTCTCTTGACTGCTGAAACTGTTTGGTTTCGTGAGATAACAGGCATTCAAATACTCTGCAACTCATCACACAGTAATCATAATCGGAGTGACGTCGGAGTGGATGGGTGCAACTGTCCGCCATCTCCGGCCCTGCGGCTCGGCTCTTGGTTTGCTGGCGGCAAAGCATTTTCCCGCCGCTGTCGCCCGGCATTTTAGTGGAGGGGAGATCTCATTTGCGGGGTACACATCCGGGGTGCCGGGGAACAGCCACGAAATGGACCCCAGCACTCTCCCGTCAACAACATCTGCCTGGCTAAGGTATTCAACTTCTGTTCATATTGCGAGAATTAACCGATAATTCCAAACGTGAGCAGGAGTAAAAAAAACATTCATCAAGGTCGTGATATCCAAAAACATTTCCGCTTCTTCAACCTCTGAATATCCGTCACCCCCGCCGGCCTTCAATGTCCTCAGAATCACCAATTCCTCTGGTGAAGCTGCATCTGCGCATATTGAGCTGCAATGTGGTCCACCAGGTCCGCAGGTGTCAATCTGACTGGCATGTTTGCAGGCGCCGCACTTGGGACCTGTCCTCCTGAAGTGCCCGCTGTTCTTGCGGCAGCCTGTGCATGTACCAATTCCGGCTGATAGTCTGGGTATAGCCCTGTAGGGCTGTTGAATATGCCATCTCGCGTATCCGACCCACTACTGGGCGTGTAGTTGGATCCGGAGCTCGGGGTCGTTGGCGCTGACGTGCTGCTTGGTGAGCCCGAATCGAACGCAGCACCAGTATCGGCGGTTTGTAGGGTCGCCGCCTCAGCCGCCGTGTTAACATCCACGCGAGCGGGCTGCCGATGGCCTCCCCTACCTCCCCGACCTGCAACGCGGCTCCCTCCCCGGACACCGACGAAGCCACCACTTCTAGCGGCGTGTCTAAGCCTGATCTTTTGCTCCTGCGCCTTGATCTCGAGAAGCAAGGCCGAACTAGTCACAAGCCGGAAGCTTTCAAGGTCTGTAGCGACTTGACGCTTCCAAGATTCTTGGGGTCGGCTTTTCTTCTCACCTGCCACGTAGAAGCAGGCAAGGCAGAGCTCCAATGCGTGGAGCTCCGATGTAGCTTCCTCAGGCGGAGTGGAGGGACGCATTACATTTGTCACCATTTTGGTTATGCGGGCAAACGCGTCCGACAGCTTTGATGACTTGTCTCGCTGCCGCCTGCTCTGAATGCCTTTCTTGTTTAGGATAAATCCCATGACAACTTCCAGCTCTTTGAGGGGCTGGGTCGGAGAGTCAGCAAACTCTACCATGGAGTCTCTTATGCCGTCTTCGTAACTGATAACATGACAAATCATGTTAGTTGGTTGCAACCATGAGCAGCGACGGGGAAAGGCTGGTGGCTTACGATTCACAGATTCGGCGGGCTTCGTCAAGACGATGTTGCCACCGCACTTGTCCAATACCGCGAATACGTTTCAACAGGGATGATTCCACTTCCTTCCAAAACGGAACACCACCCGATGGGACTTCCAGCTTGATGTTCTTGGTCCATATCTTCTTTTCATCCACGGCACGGAAAAGATGTCCCAATATCTTCTCCGATTTGTAGTATTTGTACCGCGGTGTGTCGTCTCCATCATCGTCGTCTTGCTTAAGGTACTGCTCTTCCATGTCAATCGTGGACTTATCGTGGATCTTAATGTCTGGCCCGTTTACCAGGCTGGCAGTCATCATTAGCAGGGAACTGAAGCAGGAAGGTATGTCGGCACTTACAAATCAGGCCGATACATTGGTGGCCTTGGTAACTCGGTGATATCCACGTGAATCCCCGACTTGGAGAAGTCAACCGCTTTAGAGTGCAATGCTGCCAGCTTGAGACAGTCTGCATCCAGCGTTCCCTCATCGCGTTCGTCCGCGAGGATCATGTGCCGAACCGCAATTACCCCCAGGTGATCGGCTTTCATAAACTCCACGAAGAAGTCAGCCATGTCCTTTGACTCGACCTCGCGGTTCAGTTTCAAGGGCTCGACACGTGGATAATCGGCCGCTGGGAAAGTTCTGAGCGTGGAAACGATCCTCTGATCCCAGATCACGTTGAAAGTGTCGCCGTCCAAGTCACCGCCCGACAGCTGACTAGGCAGGTCACGTTCACCGTTTTGACTGAACACGATGCAGTTTTTCAGTTCTCTGAGAGGGTGCCCTGCCGGTGGAATGACATTGTAGGCAATCTGGATGTCTCCAGGGTGCAAGGCTGGAGACCTAGTCACCACAACGGGGCCAGCAGTGGGAGGACCCTTGAAGCGACCGTCCACGGTCTCAAAAGTCACGTATACTTCGCCTTCGCGCAATAGGCCTGTCTCGTCCATGACACCAAACAGAGTAACGCCATAGGGAACCGGGATTCTAGCCTTGTGCTTGAGCAAGCGCAGCTCTCTAAGCACGACAGCTTCGACAATACCGCGAAGAAACTGGTCTCTCCGGTAGTCGATGTTCATTTTGTCAAGGTCTTTGAGAAACTGGCTGAGGTGTACAGAATCTCCGACACACTGCAGCTTGAGAAAGGTTGCCACGTTCTGGACGTTGTCCGTGATTGCCCGAAGACGTTGGAGTTCCTTTTCTTGGAGCTTCATGAACCACTTGGCAGGGGCGCCCATGTCCTCGAGAATCTTGATCATCTGACGGTTCAGCATCAAAGGAATTGGCTTTGAAGCCATGTCGCATATCTCGAGATGTTCCTCATCACGGCTGCGGAACTTCTCCATGGAATCCCTGATACAGATTTGCCTCCCAGGTAGCCGGGCATCAAGAGCTAACATGCCCTTTGCTCCAGCCCATCGAACCTGCAAGCAATTGGGGTAGCCCTTGGATTCGGGAATCTCGCGATGAATCACCTCGAGGGCACCCTGCGAAATTATCCCAACGCCATCACTGAACACGCGTTCGTTGCGTTTGATGTCCCTTTGCCTTATCACATCTATACCGTGAGTGTCGAGCGAAACGGAATATGGTGTCTCTGAAAAGGCCTGGCCTATGCGTGCCGCACGTCGCGCTGGCGACTTGATGTTGCCGAAATCGCCCAAACCCTCAATGATGTTATTAGCTAATTGCAATCTACCGTTGTAAATGAAAGGCGCCGCTAGCCAAAGGCTATGTGCTCGGAGGGAGGAATGGGAGAAGCCGAGAAACCTGTAAACCCGTCCACCAACTGAGATGCCATTGGTCAAGACGTCTTTAAATCTCTGATATATGGCGTCCATGGAAACCGCCGAGTTGAAAAAGAGGTCCTGTCCATCCTCTTCGCCGAACTGGACTCGAAGGAAGTGGTCCTGGTGTTCTGGAAACTTTCGAAGGATCCTGTTCTTGGCTTCCAGTTCAGGCCCGTGAAGTTCGATTCGGGTTGGTGTGACAAGTGCCCGATAGATCTTGGTAAGACCGGGAGGAATCTCTTCGTTTAACCGCAGGGTGTAGCCCTCACGCATGCGCTTCTCCGTTTTCTTCAAGTGTTCAATAATCCCTTCGACCTCAAACTGAGCGAGCGCCTCTGCGCTCGAGAGGCTCGGCGACGGCCAGTCGATGGTTTTGAAGAGGTCCTTGAAGGCATCAACCGAAATGGGATCCTGCCGCTGACCTGAGCGTCGGGCCGTTTCGAACATATCAGCTAAGCGCTTGGCTAGCTTTAGCACGGTTGTCGGATGAAGATACGACATGTACACCAGCGCTTGGAGATTGAAGAGCAGGCTGTAAGGCAACGTATCTCTACCTTCGTACTCCAGAAGAGCCGCCCTAAGCCTGTCAACTGCAACTGGATATGCATCTTGCGGAGATGTGGTTTGAATGGCGAATGTATAATGCGTGATCCAGAACATATCTTGCTCATTCAGTCCATTAATGGCGGTACGGAAGTCACTCCCTCTGTAGCTACCCTGGTTCTGTTTTAAATGTTTGTCCGAAACCTTGAAATGATAGACGAGGCAGAATTTTGATACTTTGGCGTGGTTACTATCACATGCCTCGAGGCGCATCCTCTGTCCGAATCGATCGGATGGAATTTCCGGCGAGAGAAACGTAGGGGCGTATGTGAGAGTGACAGCGACGTGTCCATCGTTCGACCAGACGAGTTCTTGGATGCTTCGGTATGGGATGCAGACCTGAGATCCGACCAAAGAGGTAATGACGAGGTCGTGCTTGGCGAACTTTGCTGAGACGCGCAGGGGGGACGACCACTCGGTGATGAAGGTCAAGTTGCCGTCGATGTAGGACCAATGTCCGCAGTCAAGAACGTCGGCATCAAGTGCTAAAGTTGGCGTGCGTGCAGGCCGGGCATTGTTGCTCGTATTCTCCTCCCACGCCTTCTTTCGCCTTTCCTCTTCTTCAGCCTCGTAAAGAATGCCGTTGACCAAGTTCTTCAGATCCTTTGGCTGGGGCTTGCTGACCCTGCATTCGGCCTGCTGATTCATGATAGAAAGACGAGGGTGTGTCTTGAGGAAGCTATCCGCTTCCTTGACAGTGACAAAGATGACTTTTCCAAAGTGTTTGTTGGACCGTTTATTGCAGTCATAGTGACGGATGCCGAGGTTGTCCATGAACGGCTTCAAATGATTTGTCAAGCTTCTCTCGGAAAGGTCTCGAGGAAGTTTATTGATGAAGACCTCCATGGCGGGCGAGGGGGTAATTTGCGCACAGAGCTGTCGACCAGCTATTTAGGAGGGCTATATGGGTGTCAGCATTTTTGGATCAACATGTTTGAGAGAAGGGGAGAAGCTCACCAACGGTTGACTGAGTGATTGAGCACTAACTGCTCCAACTTGGGACAAATTGAGGACTTGGATAGCTTGGTCGGCGGACGGAATGACAGGCGCGTTCAACGCGTGTCCGTCAACAACACGGAGAAACGAGACGATAGGCCCCTTGAACGTCGGTGCGTCCGTCAACAACAACAACAACAACAACAACAACACAGAGAAATGAGACGACAGGCGGGAGTGGACACGCGGCGAACGCAGCCTGGGCCGGCCTGCAAAGCTGTCGTGCGCTGGGTTCTTCCTTGAAGAGTTGGGATGAGGTTAACGACCAGATGAAGGGGGAAAACAAAACGACCTTGTCTGTCGAGTCGAGGGGACTGGAGACAGGACTTCTTTTCCACGTCGTCGAGGATGTCAGTCGTTTACCGGCGTCGACGTCCCCGCTTGGGGCTGGACGACATCTATGACAGGCCGGTTGGCGGTTAGCGACTGTAATAGGCCCAAATGGCACACTGCCTTATGCGAGAGGCCTACAGCCTGCTTCATGCCGTGCTTCTATTCCCACAGCACGGGGCTGCCAATGGTGTCGTATCTGGTCCATCTTGACTGGGTTGAGATTTGTGCAGTTGGTGATGGAGGATTTGGCAAATGTGGGAGGCCCTTTGGGACGTGCAAGGGTGCGTGCAGTCGTCGTCTCTTTTTCATGTTCCTTCTACATACGTATCTGGACCGAGAAATGCGACGACGAAATCGGAGGTGGAACTGGAGCCGTTCCTGCCTGCCGTTTCAACACCTGCATCCACTGCACCTCCAATACTGCCGCTGTCTCTTCCATCGCAGAAGGCAATTGCATCCGAGGTTTCTCCACAAGCAATAAAATTGCAACGGGACTCTGCGTCTTGATGGCATGCCGTCACCCGGATCCAATGTAACGTGGAATGAGACTTCGACTCTGTTGTTTGCCCTTCATTTTCCACTACTTTGTGCGCGGACAAAGGCGGGCTCTGTCACCGCTGACAATTGCCTCCGGGAAACGAGCAGAAAGGAACTATCAGGATCCAAAACCATTGCCAGAGAAATTGTGAGGATTTTGCAAATCTGACATGCCGCCCGGCACAAGAGGGGAGTGATTTCGTGAGAAGTTGACAATGGGGTAATCCTAGAGGAACCGGCAACACTTTCAAAGGGCTGACAAAGCTGCAAGACAGCTAGCTTGATCCCTGCTTGAGGTTGAAGCGGGGCAGTGGTCAATCGATCATACCCCGCTAAATACCCCACTACAACACGACATCACCGCACTGCAAAAGGCAGACTCGACGACGGCTTCAATTGGTACATACAGCAGCTTATCCAAGGGTTGTGCTTTCTTGGATGGAGTGGTGAATTCCACACCTATAGTGTACTATGGTACATTAAGTATGCCAGAAGCAAAGAAACGACATTGTTGATTTGCCCGGATCTGTTCATTCTGCGTCCGCCATCCAGACATTCACCTTTTTCATTACCTACAGCAAACTCTGGTGATTTGATTCCAATCATTGCCCCTTTATGGTCACCAACGTCCAAGCACCGTCCACCAATTCACACATCAACATTGGCCCCAGACCTACGATGGAAGTGTACATGTCAGGGTCATCCCGAGGTCCCAAGCACCGCTATCGGCCCACAATGACATGGAATCAGAGTTCTCATTCACGCTAGCAGCTCCTCTAGCGTAGCATGGCACTGCTGCGTCCAGTGCCGTCACAGGCTCCGGCCGGTGCTATTTGCCGAACAGGTCAAGTTCCATAATCCGGGGTCTAACAAGGGACAGCCATTGGACCCGGGACTCGGACATATCACGGTCGTCGGGCAAAAAAAAAAGATCTGCCCTTGACCCCTCTCCTTGCTATGTATGTATCTGCCCTCTGCCTTATAACTGGAGTCAGGGAGCTCTCCCTTTCAGTTCCAGCTTCCAGGTAGCTCTTTTCCAGCTTCTCTCCATCACCAATCACACCCACAACCCCCCAAACACCAAATCAAGATGGCTCCCTTCCGCGCCGAACACATGGGGTCCCTCCTGCGGCCCCAAAACCTTCTCGACGCCCGCGAAGCTATCCGCGACAAGGGCCTTTCCCCCGAAGAGGCCGGACTCCCCGCCATTGAAAAGGAGGCGGTTGGCAATGTCGTCAAACTCCAGCAAGAACTCGGCTTCAAGGCCGTCAACAGCGGCGAGTTCAACCGCACCCGCTTCTGGGGCTTGATGTGGGACGAGTTCGAAGGGTCCGTCGCTCTGCAGGAAGCCGAGGCCAGCATGTTTCGCCTTTACCACCCGGACGTCGTCAGCCTGATCGAGAAGGACCGCAAGGTGATGCCTGGCGACAGTGTCATTGCGGGCGCCAAGTTGAGACACAACAGGGAGAAAAGCAAGTCGAACTTGCACGAGTTGAAGCTGGTGCAGCAGTTTACCCCCAAGGAGGAGTGGGCGAACATCAAGTTGACCATGATCACCCCGGCCTGGTTCCACATGCGCTACAAGCAGGGCAAGGCCTATGCCGAAGGCGTGTATGCGAATGACGAAGAGTACTTTGCCGACGTGGCCAAGGTTTATCAGGAGGAGCTCAAGATGCTCTATGAGGCTGGGTTGAGGAATGTGCAGTTTGATGATCCTGGTTTGGCTTGTATGTGTTCTTCTGCCCCCAATCCACTCCTCAACCCCCGTTCTTACCAACTAACACCCCCTGTCCTCCAGACTTCTGCTCCGAAGAGTTCCGCGCCGGTTACGCTTCCGACCCCGACAACACCGTCTCCATCGACACTCTCCTTGACTCCTACATCAAGCTTTACAACGACTCCCTCTCCCTCCTCCCCGCCGACTTCCACACCGGCGTCCACCTCTGCCGCGGAAACTTCATCGGCGGCCGCCACTTCGCCTCGGGCGCCTACGACGTGATCGCCCAAAAGCTTTTCCAAGAACTTAACGTCAACACCTTCTACCTCGAGTATGACACCGCGCGCGCCGGCGGCTTCGAGCCCCTGCAATACCTTCCCAAGAACAAGAATGTCGTGTTGGGTGTGGTGAGCACCAAGCTGCGGGAGTTGGAGAGCAAGGAGGAGGTGAAGAGGAGGGTGGAGGAGGCTGCAAGCTGGGTCGCCAAGGGCACCGGAGAGAGCAGGGAGGAGGCGCTGAAGAGAGTGATGGTCAGCCCCCAGTGCGGCTTCAGTACGCATGAGAGCGGGTACCCCCTCAGCGAGGACGATCAGAGGGCGAAGTTGAGGTTGGTGAGGGAGGTTGCGGATGAGATCTGGGGGGAGGCCTAAATCAAGTGCTATGAGAAGGAGCTGGTTTTCCTTGCCGCATGTTCAACAATGGTATGGGAGAAGGGTTGGCAGGATTGGATGGGAAAAAAGCATATGGTTGCGAGTGGGCGGTTGGCGTATGGGATTGTCGTTTGATGGCATGGGTAGCGTGGAGTACTGGATATCAACTTCCAGCGTGGCATAGATCAAGGGGATGTTTTTGATTGGGTTCGTTATAATGAAAAGCATGTTTTTTCCAGAGATATTCCTTGTCGATTGACAAACGAAGGCTAGCCAAGGTCAGTTATACGTTAAACTTGCTCTCCTAAATGGACATGCCTAGGTAGGTAAGCTGTCCTTTGGGAAGTTCCAATACTAGTTTGTTTGCTTATGACCTCTAATGAACTGTCTTGGGGCGTTTATAGTACGTCTTGACTCTTGATCTGAATCGTGAACGGATGTGGGACTAGCAAACAAACTTTATCAAGGGGCTCGAGATCTCAAAACTTCCAGAGGAACCGATCAGCACGAATGATGAAGGAACAAGACTGAAGTAACCCAACATCGCTACCTCAGGGATACTCCGTCTTCTTCATCAAGGCTAGAGACACACACCCAGGCTCGCAATCTTGCCATTATACTATCCCACACACACTCCCTCAAGAAAATGCTCGCCCTCAAAATGATTTTTACAGTACATCGATCCTCTTCGCGAACTTTGGGGGAACTTTTAAGTTCGTTGAAAGCTTCACGCATGCTAAGCCAACACTCTTGCCCCTTAGCGACAATCGCCATCAAAGTCCAAGCCAGCCATCCGCCACTATGAGAATAGAGATAAAACCTTGTGCACAATTACACCATTGCTATTATTTCATATTTCTTATTCCCCTCCAAAAAAAAATTGGAAATAAATAAAAAAAAAAAGAAGAAGAAGCGCCCAGTAGTCCCGTCAAGGAGCAGAAGTAGGTAGCGTTCGTGATTTCACAGATGAGCCCGTTCGTGAAAGGAAACTCATAGCTCATCCCTTGCCCCCTTGCCCCCGCCGTGAGTCAGGCAACGTTACTTGTCTTTAGGGTACATAGGTAACTACTAGGTAGATAGACAACCTCAATCCATTCCCATTCCAATTCCTCTCCCGTCTCTCTCTCGCCTGGCCTGTATTCTAGGTCTCTTCAGTTGGGTTTCCTATCTACTAATGGACGTGCACCTAGACTAAGGTGGTTCTCCATCAAGACATATAATGATATTGAGTAGCAATGTTTCACCCTCAACTATTCACAGTTTACCCTTTCTTTTCTCTTTTTTCTTTCTCTTTTTTTTTTTTTTTTTTTTTTTTGGAACTAAACTTTTTCCCTCACTATAGTATTTCCGAAGAAGAGAAAATCCTACCTACCTAACTACCTTGGATCGTAAGTACTTTTTCCTGCGAGACTATAGTAGGTGTGATGGCGATACCTAGAGGTAGGCTGCTGCTGCTGCCTCTATCAGCCGCCGGGTATGGATGCCATCGGATCATCACGGTACCTAGCATTTGGAGTCGGGTTTGTTAGTCACGGTCATGACAACCTAAGTGGAAGCAGAGCGAGCCCGTAGGCTATCTCGGCGTATGTATGTAGGTAGAGGTGTATGGAGCTGGAGTTTGTGGGGAGTCTAGCTAGGTATGAGTTATGTGCTAGGTTGGTTTGCCGATCAATCGATGTTGACAAGGACATGCTCGAAAAAAAAAGAAAAAGAGAAAAAAAAAAAAAAAGGAGAGAAAAAAAAAAAGAAAGAAAGAAAGAGCTGCTGACTGCTTTGCTTAGATGCGCTGTTATCCGAACCCCTACAGATTTGGGTGGCCTGGCAATAGAGGGGTAACAGCTGTCCGCAGGTTGAGGTGCTGTTTTGTTACCTTAGCAGCTTAGGCTGGAGGATGCGATGAGGGCTGAACGGAAGGTTGGCGGTCCAGGTCCGGGAAGGGACGAAGCATGCACCACTCCATGGTCTCAAGACCCAATTCCAGTTGTTGAGCTCTTCAAAGACCAAATATATCTTATAAATCGAGGGATGAATCTACAAACGACTGTTTTCACACCCTCGCACAATGCGTTGAAGTTTTGTCACGCAGTGTCTCTGGCTTTTTGCAGATTCGCTACGCTATCAGCGCAGGCGGATTTACAGGGAGTTACAGGGAGCTGTGCAGCTAAGGTAACCTTCCCCTCGAACAGAACATCACGCAGGGGCAATGAGGTGACAACCTCTTTCTATCCAAACACAAGTCCACGACAAAGTAAGAACCTCATCTCCTCCTGAACAAGTAAACAACATCTCCCAACGTCTCAAGCCTCAGACCTACACTAAGCGCCCAATATCAGTCAATCAAAACAGGCGCAAGGCACTGCACTGCCTCCCGCTCTCCTGTCCCCCTGTTCGTCCAACCTCTAACTGGGCCCTGTAAGCCAGCCAATCATTGGCCTCAACTCCTATCGATTCGTCAAACAACCGCGCTTCCAGATTGTTTCACATCACCACCCTGTCTGTCTGTCTGTCACTTGTCAACTTTATGCGTTCCTTTCCTTGTTTAGAATGTGAGCCTGACACAAGGAATTGGGAAACAAGAGAGAGTCAAAAAGTTAAAGTC